TCCCCCCCCAGCAGACCAGAGAGAGGGGGAGCAGCTTTTCTTGCCCCGGAGGACGGGGGCGGCGGGACTGCAGCACATCTGGGCGTCCCGCCGCTCCAGTCCTCCAGGGCGAGAAAAGCCCCGTTCGTAACTGTGGATCCGACACAAGTCGGATCCGCGTAACTCGGGGACTGCCTGTAATATAATCATACCAGTTTGAATTATTTTGGTAATATATGTCAAAATACCTGTCAGGAAGTATGCCTAATAATACAGACTACCAAAAAAAATCAAGCATTAGAGAGTAAGGAATCTATTTGTGTATATTAAGAAATCCTATTAGACATACTAGTACAGAAGTTTGAGTAGTTCATACACAGAAACAGATTTCCTGCACCCCCCAGAAACAGTGCAAAGTCTTGTGGGAATCTGGGGTAAAGAAAAAGCTGAGGGAGAAGGAAGGAGCCTGGAAGTGAATGTGGAGGATTGTTGGGGTGTGGATGGGAGAAGTATGGAACAAAGGGATTTTTTGGGGAGGTGGTGGAGAGTCTTAGAGATGCTAACCCATGGCTCTTCCATTTAGTTAGGTATATCTGTCTCTGCTCTCATGAGGTTCTGCATCCCCACTCCCATTAAGCCTCTGATTCAGTGTGCTGGCATCCCACTAGCTCCTGTGCCTCTGCCCTGACACTAGCCCTTCTGAACCCCAGTCTGCATGATCTCCTCTCTCACTTCACAGCAGCCCTTTGTTCTGGGCTATGTTTGTACCCCTCCTGTGCCTCCTCACCAGACCCCTTGTGAATAAGGCAGCCACTGCCTCCTCTGTTCTGGCCCAACTGCCCTTTCTTCATACCCTAGACTTTATGGTTTCCAGTAGGTCTAAACTTAGCCATATAGTCTTGTATCTAATTGCAAAAAAACCAGTTACTTAAATGAGACATTTTAACTGAGACAAATGCAAAGTACAATGAAATAAAGTTCTAAAAAATGAAAGCATAGTACAACATGCTAGTCTTATACCTACATCAAGGCATTGCTTGAAATTCATATTTCTGTCATGGCAGAGATATTTTTGAAGCCAGGCACAGGTGCTAATATGTGACTTACTTAAAAACACATGCAGTAGAAATTAAACTTGTTTGTTATTCAGTAGTTTCTAGTCTAGTGTGACTATGTTTCTGAACCTACAAGTGCCAAATCATCAGGTATGGGGAGAATTCTTCAGGTGACTCCCTATTTGATTTTGTTTAGTTGACCAGCTTCCAGGCTCTCTTGATGCAGACTTAAGAGCCTTGTGATCCTGGGGCCATAGGTGGGAGATTAAATTACCATGTCCATAAAAAGTCTTTTGTTAGCACTTTTGCTGACCAAATATTTCCACCCCATAGGAGTCAGGTTCCTATTGTGGCCTGGACAGTACTCCTGATTGACAAGGAGCTGAGCCATTCACACTGCCACTTGCTGAGGGAAAACTTTTGTCTGGAGGAGGAGCTTTATGAAGCACCTGTGGAGAAAAAATTGTGTCCTTCAATTGGCAATGTAGACAAAGACTTCAGTATGCATTACCAGTCCAACTGATTAGAAACAAGTGGCCTAACTTGGCTTTGTTCTCCAAACTGAGACATGCAAAAACTATTTAAGCACAAATAACACAATGTAAATCAGATTTAATAGTTGATGTTCCTCTGATTTTTATTGGTCATCAAAATCAGTTGGTTATTGTGTACTAATTTAAAGTTAAAAATCTTAAGGTTATTTACTTAAATGTAACTTAAGTTATGGTAATGCAAATATGGTGATCTGACAAAGTGTAACTAAAATATCTTCTGGAAGGCTTTGATTTAACTTTTCAGTTCATTGTTTCCTACAGAGGAGATCAAAAGGTGATGAGCAGAAATTGGGCAATAAAAGACTTGATGGAAGTGACTCATTAGACAGAAGAACAAGTAGAAGTTCACTTCATACCTCTGTGTACGGCCGAGATACTTTGAAACCAGGTACAGGTCCTAACATGTGACTGACTTAAAACATAGGCAGTAGAGATTGAAATTGTTTACTATTCAGTAGTTTCTAGTCAAGTGTTACTTCGTTTCTGAATGTAGAGATGCCAACCAAGAAGTATGGGGAGAATACTTCTTTGGTGACTCCCTTATTGAGAGAGGACCATGAATAACCTTATTTGCTGATTCCACAGCATAAAGTAGATTTATATGAAGAAATTCCTTGGAAAGCAACTAAATTTAAAATTACTCCTAGATTCACTGTTAAATTACTCTTTCTGCATCTTTATTATAATGACCTAAAACTTTTTTATGACAATCAGTATGCTTAGATATCATGACAGCTGGGGTGACATAAAACTCTAGGTATAACTTAGCGATTATAAAAAGATAGTTGGCTTCTTTGACTTTATGTGTTTTAATTAGACAGGTCTAATAACGCTGTGAACAGGAAATCAAAACCGATTCCAAAAAACGAGTCTCTTCCAAAACCTGCCTTTGAAGTTACCCTTTCGGATTTCCCTAAGTTGCAGAGTTTGGAAAACAATGATATATTGGACATACACAAACATAAACGGGGACCGTTATGCTCAGCTGAAGGCAGTACTGCATTCTTGAGACAACGAGTGAGAACGCAGACTTCTGCTTTGGTGACTACAGAGGTTAGCTAATGTTTACATTTTGGAGCCTCGTAGAGTGTTTCAAAAAAATGATTGGTTTGATGAATCACTAAACAACTTGTATCACTAGTAGGATGATGATATAATAAATAGTTTGTAGAGGAAAAAGAGAAAAGATAGTCACTCTATTGAAATAGGAGAAAATTGCTCAAGAATAAGAATTTAAATGATTATGCACACTATTTTAAAATTCTGCCAAAATAACAATATCATTCCAGTTTAAATTATTTTGGTAATTTATTTCAAAATACATGTTAACAGGTATATCAACAATACCCACAAAACAAAAGAAAATATTCCCAAGGAGTAGAGTTACTGAAATCTCTACAACAATTCAGTTCTAGTGGGGAGTGGCGGATACAGGAATGAGCTGTGGATGGGGAAAACAGGCATCTCCATGACCACCACTCTGAACCCCAGCTCTGGGGCACCCTCAGATCCCAGACACCCTCATCCTTCGCTCAGCAGTGGGGCACCTCCAGAGCCCAGACGATCAGCATACCCCTTCCCCAGCCACAGGGCTCCTTCAGCCCAGACATCTGCACCTTCAGAGCCTTCACTTTCCCTAGTTTCTTCATTGTCTTGTTGGGAGATGTGACGTGGTGAAGTGTGGCCCTACCCTTTCTCGCCCTTTTCTGGAGCTGGGTCTCATGGGCTCTCTCCCATCCCCTGGAGAATGAAGATCAACCTGGCAACCTCTATTTCAGCTGGGCCACTGCACAACTCACAGTGAGCAGAGTTCTACAGTTCCAGCAGCCCATAAAGGCACAGAATTCCCCCATGACTATACTAGAACAGCTAGTATCTAGCCTACTGTACAGTTGATTACTGCTGAATAGAAATCCTGATATTAACAACTTCTGGATAATGGCAGCACATTGCTGGGAACCAATTTCAGGTCATTAACATTAGTGTTAATGGGATTTGGCTGTTATCAGTGATGTCCTGCTTATTAGCAGCTTTTTTGGAATAAAGGCAAAAGGAGGCTTGCTAGGCTGCAGCCCCAGAAGGAAGCAGCCTGGCAAACCTGCCTGCAAACAGGGACTAACTACACAGGACATAAGAGACTGTGGGCTGGGAACAGAGGAGGTGAGGCTGTGGACAGAGCAATAGCAGATAAAGATGTCTACAGCCTGAATCTGCACAGTACATCTCTGTGCTCTCCAGGCTGTGCCCTGCTGGGGGACTATGCATAAGAAAGGAAGAGCTGGGAGAGGAACTCTGAGCCCTGGAGTGAGACTGCTTAGACTTATTAGCCACTAATGAATAACTGCATCTCAGGTACTAGCAAAAAGTTGCTAATAAGTTGAATTTTTTGTAGACCGATATTTTTTCCCACATGCAGCAAAACATCATGTGAATCTCTCAACTGTGAGCCTACATGCTTCATTAATGTATCCCCTCTGTGTTCCCTTCATCCATTTTTCATGTGTGTGTGGGGGAGAGATGGGGAAATAAGTCATCAAAAACTACCTTTTTGCATAATGTTGCCTGTGAATTAATGACTGAAATGTATCTGGTTCAGCCAATCATTAATTCCCAGGAAATCCTCAGCACCTCATTCTTTATTGCTAAATTAAGGTAAGTCTGTTCTGATTTGCATTTTGTACACGTACTAGCTGGAATCTGAGACAGCTGTCATGTCTGCTGGTTGGGAAGGTCTCCTGCACAGGAGGCATTCTTAGTGTATCATTTTTAACCCCTTTTAAGATTTGAATCTCGGTATAATTGCATAGCATAATTGGGCACAATGATTCTGTTCCAGATGATTCTAAAAAGTTATGTACATTGGGAGTTTTCTGTTTCTGTATTTAAGAATACAAAATAATGCGGTGGTGTTTTTCAGGATGAAGCGTTAGTGGAAGACAAAGCAATATCAAAAATTTATGCAGAAGTAGTTTCAGTATCCTCTTCACTTGATACTAGAGGTAAGTGTTGGAGAAACCCTAAAATATCAATCACCTATTGCAGGAGTGGGCAAGATATGGTTGGGGAGCCACATCTGGCCTGCCAAACCATTTCATTAGGCATGCCCTGCTGCACCTCCCAGGCCAGCCGTAAGTGGGGGAGGGTGCAAAGTCTCCTCCCCTCACCAGGGGCACACATTCAAACCACTGCATGTCCCTCTAGGTGCCATGCATCCATTTGGCCCCTGGGTGTGGGGGTGCACATGAAGTTTCCTCCCCCTGCCAGGGGTGTGCAGGACCAGAGCTGTTCAAAATGGCTGGTGGTTCCCTCTGGGCGCTCCATACCCCTGGCATGGCAGAGGTGGGGGCTGAGAGATTTCGCATGCTCCCCTAGCCTATGGGGGAGCATGGATGGTGCCTGCCCCACCCTTTTTGGGAGCAGGATCAGCCCAGGAACCACTACCAAAATTGGTGAAGTGACCCCTCTACAAAAATTATTGCCCACCTCTGACCTATTGGGTTTGACTTGTTTCTGGTTCTCCTTAATAGAAAAGTTAGTGCTGCTGAGTGCTTCTTGAGAATAAAATAAATGTATACATATAAAAATAAAAACCTACAGTATGAAAACTATCCAGTGAGAGAGAATGAGGCAAACGTGAAAGATTCCTTCTTCACTGCAATATTCGAGTGCTTCTAGAGGACAAATAGTTGTTTTAATTGCTATGTAAATATTTTGACTTCTACAAACTATTTCCAAAATATATGTAAATCATGGATTTCTAATGCAGAGGAGTTCTTAGTTTGTAAGAGCTTGCTAGTTTTAATTTTTTAAATTTATTTGTTAAAAGCAAAAATGGCATAAGGAAAATTGTTCAAAGCAAACCACTTTTTAATATATTAATTATTTTAGGTCTTAGGTTTCCTCAGATTTATGTATTAGCTTATCTCAAGGAGTTACCAATATTGTATATTAATGGATCATTTTTATATGGTTCAGAACTATATCCATTTGTATTCTAACAGATAAAGGTGCTCCGTCAGTTGAGGTAACCACAAATGTTTTAACTGGTGTATACAGAATTCACAAGCTAATTATCCCATTCTATGGTTTTGTGGACATCTAGAGAGTAGTGGTGATGTATTGATTCTTTTGCAGGTGTGTGGTGTGTGTGTGGGGTTGTGTTTTTGTATCCCATTCTATGGTTTTGTGGACATCTAGAGAGTAGTGGTGATGTACTGATTCTTTTGCAGATGTGTGGTGTGTGTGTGTGGTTGTGTTTTTGTTTTTGTTTGGGTTTTTTTTGTTTTTGTTTAAGACATGATCAGATACTTCGCAACCTGAAGTTTAGTGATCTTTGTCTTCTGATGTTAAGGGTACTCCTTAAGAGGAATACAGTAAAACTCCGATGGTCCGGCATTTGATGGTCCAGCACTCCTGATGGTCCGGTACCATCAGGAACCCGGAAGTGCTCTGGGCAGCCGGACCATTGGAGCTGCTCTGCCCCCAGCTTCCCAGATTCAGCCACTGCTAAAACTGACCAGTGGCTAAATCGGGGAAGCCAGGGGCAGAGCAGCTGGAGTGTTGCCAGGTAGGTCCTGTAGCACTGCTCCTCTGGGCTGCAGGACCCAACCCGGCAGCACCCCCGCTGTCCCCGATTCAGCTGCTGCTGGA